GAGCATAAGCTTTCGTGGACTACAGCCCACTTCCACGAAAGCTTATGCTCTAATAAATTTGTTAGTCTCTAAGGTGCCACAAGTACTCCTGTTCTTCTTTTTGTGGATACAGACTAACACGGCTGCTACTCTGAAACCTGTGGAAGAACTGTTACACATAGACACATTTTATGTATATCAGTGACTTGATTTCCTGCTTAGGTCAGCTGAAATCAAAGTCGGTGAAAAAGATGAATTGATCTCCCTCACAGTATGAATATAATTATTATAATGGACTCTTCTAATTTTTAGGCAACTTAACTTAGACATGTAGTTTGTGGCAGATAAGTCTTTGGCCCTCACCAAATATAGTAATAAGAACTAAATGGTACACCAGAATTCAGTACGAATCAAGTCACTTCTGCATTATCAGTTTTAAGATCTAACAAGCACACATATTTATCTTTCAGTTCAACGGCACCATCTTACAAGGCTCATGAAATTATTCCAGGAAATATACATGTCAAAACCATTTTGTTGTCAAAAAGGTACTTATTTTTGTGATACTTCTACCATTTTCTTTCTGAAAACCAATTTAAATTAATTACTTCTGGGATTTTTTAATTCTTGAAGGTGATCAAAGAGAAATGTCATGAGAATAAAAAGTTCTCATGCACACACACAAGTTTTTACATTAACCAATTTGTTTTCCATCTCTCAGAAAAATAAAAATGATGTACAATTACATTATCAGAAAATTTTAGTCTAAAAAAATGAACATCATAAGAATAAAATACCACTGTGAAGTTGGTAGAAAAAAAATCATATGGAGTTTTGATAATTTCTTTTTAGAAAAATCATAATGCATAAATGTTAAATATGTTATAAAATAATTTTAAACAAGTGATAAAATGAAAATATTGTGTATGAATCTTTTTCTCCAGTATTAAAATATTTTTTAAAAGCAAGGAAATTTCTTTAAAAAAAAATCTCATTTGAAGTAAGCTCACATAAGCACTATATAGATAATAGTTTCACCAATACAGATTCTAAAACCAAAGACCCCCCTCTTATAAAGGGGTTCACCAACATAGACACTCATACCAGTGTGCATTCTTATAGAAATTAAACCATTATGAAATCAACATTCTGCAAAAATTATTCTGAAACCTAAATTGACCAGTATGACAGTAGTGTTTTTCAGAATATTTACATTTTAAATTTGTTTAATATGTATTGTGATATTATTGGTATATTTTTTTCTCGAAAAGATTACCCTGGCTCATCCAATTACTTTGTTAGCATTAATCTGTAGTTTTCACTGCATTATAAACAGTGTGTGTGGTGTCTTATGTAAAAATGAGAGAGTTTTTATATTTGGCAAATTATATTGACATATGACATTTTTATGTGCATGTTTAATTTTAGAACTTTTTTAATAGTCCTTGCTGCAACTGTTGCATGAAATGTAAACTCATGGTTTGATTGTGGGTCAGAGCTAAGGCTGTTGTGAGTGTTTTCATTTTTATTTCTGTTACTTGTATTGTGATGCTAATTGAGTTATTTAATTAAATATCTTTCTTGGAGTCATTACTTTAGTTTTCTGTTTTACTTGACTTGCCAGTTCTGCAAAGTTATCTGCCAATATAGACTTCCCTATGCCTGGGTGGAGACCCATTAAAGGAATAGTTAAAAGTGTAACTGAACATTTCTTGCCCACTTACTAGGTGAAGATAACTCACTTTCAGTTCTCAACAGTTACATTTTCTTCTGGTCCTGGCATTCCTGGCATTGTTGAAAGCCATGCTCTGTTTCTGCCAACCCTTGTCCACATAATATATAATCTAGTTATACCTTATATATTTTTGATGCTGAGTGGTGACCATTTTCACCTATAAATTTAATTAACCGTGAGGGTGCTTTGAGCTTTTGAAATGGATACTCTTTATTATTTAAATCCAAATAAATGTACATCAGTCAGGAAAGAGCAAAAAATGAACCCCCTAAGCATCCTGGGAGAGCCCTAGCACTCGGTCCCAGTCACAGCCTTTTCATGCTTGCTATCCTTATATTTGGACTGCTTCCCTCAGGATTTAAGTGGCACGTGGCTTGAACCCAGTGATTTGTCCCTGACTTTACAAAACGGTTGCAGGACCCTCCAAAGTGGTTCCTCCTGCTGTCTCCAACTCCCTTTAATCTCATATAAGAGACGAGATAGGAAGCCTGTAGCTTCAAATCCCTATTACCACCCTGCCATAGAGCTGTTCTGTTATATAGCAGAGTTCAAATACTCAGACAATCCTTTGCAAGTTTTGGTTCTCCATTATTGGAGAAAGCCTGATGACCCCATATGCTGAGTCTGTTCTTCTGGTTCCCTCCACGTTTGCATGTTGTCAGCATGGATGTGCTTAGGATGCCATTTCACCTCTCCACGTGCTAGTGCTAAGGAGTCAATATTGCAAACAGCTCTCCACGACTACACAGTCAGTGTGGTTTAGCTTTCCAGCCTTCTTACCACATTGTCAACTGGCTTTCCTCAGTAAGGCAGCAGATGGATCTAGCCCATATCTCCAGGTTGCTTGAACCAGCAGGCCACTCAAATAGCTAGATCTGTTGGAAAAGGTAACCTGGAATATGTCTACCCCCAGCTTACTCTCTGTGCAGAACAGCCTAGCCTAAAATGCCCCTTTATTGAGCTTGTCAATAGATCTCCTCAAATCATGGCAGCTGGTTTGGTCTAGCAGCTCTTACTATCAGCCTGCCAATGGCAGGGGACAATTCAAATGACAGTAATCCAGGAGCACTGAGGAAGAAATGTCTTTCTCAGTGTGAGACATGCACTCGTAGCTGCTGGGCCTGTGTATGTACTGTGACCTGCAGAACGAGAGACCAGTCCCAAACCACTAATGCCTGTAGGCAGCATCTCTGATCTCCCATGACACAGCAAACATTCCTTATTGCCATCAAGGGGATCATTGATACTGGGTCATCAGCAGAAGGCCTTCCACCTTTCCTAGTGTTGATAATTCAAGGCTTCAACAAAACACATTTTTAAGAAGTGTGGAGGAGAGAGGGGGGCGTGGGTGATTTATAACTTCCTTTCAACCTTTGGGCAGGTCAGGTAGGCATTTCTTCCAAATTCCTCATGCCTCCCACATTTGGAGTCTGAGAATTGTTTCTAAAGGAAAAATATACAAGTCCAGTGGCCATCCTTTAGGAAAGAGGATTCTATATAGCATGGACACTTAAACAGGAGTGGAAGGAATCTGTGAAATATATTCTCTGCCTCTCAAATAACCAGGCATGAAAAAAAAATTGAATAGTTGTTAGTATACAGAATGATTTTGGATTTATTTACAGAAGGAGAAAAGTTCTTTCTCCACTTGGAACTTGGGCAAGTGTCTGTCCCAAAAGAATCTAGTATGCAGAACTAGGTGTCTTATGTCTTTAGCACAGTGGTTCTCAAGCTTATTTGTGTCTGTAGGTGTTATGCCCCCTCCCGCTTCCACAAGTACATATACCATGATCAGCTCTGAGCAGAGCAGAGAGCAGCAGCTGCTGGCCGGGTGACCAGCTCTGAAGGCAGCACATGTCAGCAGCAGCACAGGAGTAAGGGTGGCAATGTGAAAAGTGAGATTTGTCAATATCACTTTTCACCGTAGACTTAAGGCCCCATTGCCATCCTTACTTCTTCACTGCTTCTGCCACCCTGGGGCTGACAGCTGGAACCCCACCACCGCCAGGTGTGGGATATGGGGGCAGGATGAAGGAGAGCCTGAGTCCAGCCTGCTTCCCAGTGAGGGATTAAGTGGAGGGAGGAGAACCCGAGCCCATGGCTGTCCCCTTTATCCCTGCCTCCCGGGTGTGCATGGCCCTTCTGCACAAGCCCCAGCCACCCGGGTCTGACAGCCAGAGCTCTTTTTTTTTTAAAGCACACAGCTCGGGCCTCCCTTGACACATTTCCGTGCCTCCCTTGGGAAGCCTACCCCATAGTTTGAGAACCGCTGCTTTAGATAATGGCTCCAGGATTTTGTAATACCCCTAGAGGGAAGCACTCGGGATTTCATTCAGGTGATGACCTGCAATGGTTTGGTGCAGTTATTTAATAAGAGGAAATTCACTTGTACGACAAGTACAGACATGATCCTAATCAAAGAGACAATCCTTCCAGCCATCTTGTTCTTCTGGAGTCTAGTCTGGGAGTTCCTATAGATCCTTTCTCTGCGGGGGGTGGATGTGCTGCAGATGACATATAAGAAAGTGTTCCTGATAGACATGGAAGAGTTTTCTCCTCCCTGCTGCTTAATATCCTTTGTGCTAGTTAATTTATAATTAAACAAATAATACACCCAGAAGGAATCATCCAGTGCCTGATACTAATTGTCATACTGATGAGAAAAAAGTTTAAATCTTGACTTGAGTTGATATCTAGTTTAGTTTTGACTTCATTTTCAGTCGTTCAAATAGCTTGTTGAAAGTAATCCCAAGAAGTCATTAATAATATATAACAGATTACTTACTGGAGCCAGTAAACTGTAATTTGTAATAGTCACTTAAATGAGCTTGCTCAGAAATAGAGGTCCCACTGTTTATTCAAGAAACAGATCCATTTTGTCCTTTCATACTCCTTCACCTATTAACTCTTCTATGCCAGGTGAGAGATCATCTCCTTTTCAAGCTGATGTGATCTTGGTAGGTCAGACCAAGCAATTGGACAGGTTTTTCACCTACATTGTTCTTCTCTGTCTGCACCTAGCGTGGATGCTATCAAATGCCATTATTTTTCTGCACGGCACAGAGGCATTTTATTACCAATCATAGAACCATAGAAATGTAGAGCTAGAAGGCATTTTGTGTTCTTGTAGAGTTTAACTCCTGTGAGGAAGGAGGAGTTATTTTTATTTTGCTGTCTAGGACCTCAGTTGCCCTATGAATAAACCTTGCTTTCATTTGATTATTTCCGAGATCCTAACCCAGTTTCAATATTTATTTAGTTTTTTACAAACAGGTCTGTCTGTGTTTGGCTGCAGTATGTCACACCCACAAGCAGGGAGCGCCTGCTGGCAGAATAAGAAAGAGAGATTGGAATCTCTACCTGAGACATGGGACTGAAAGCAGTACATCCATGCGGGGACAGTACCTGGGACAGCAGGCACATGCTAAGAGAAGAGCACATTATGGTAAGGAAATGATTTTTTTTCCTTTTGCAAACCAGTATTTCAGCTGGCGCCAGGCCATGTCTGGCAGAATGCCACACCAAATGTTGTACTTCTTGCCTGGGCAGCAAGGACCCCTCCCCATTTCTGTAACTAAATTGACTCTTTTCACAGTATTGCCAACCCCAAGCATTCAGAAGTCATGAGTGATGCCCCCTAAAGCCCCAGGATTGGCTTTACAATCATGAGATTGTAAAATGTATATAAATGTTGGGTTCTTTTTATGTACCTTCTGGGTAACTTTAGGGTAAACTCTGGTCATATTTTCAAGCTCTTCTCCACAACGTTGAGAACTAGAAATTTCCATTAAAAATTAAAAGAAGGAAAGAAAAAGCTGAGATTTGTGTATTCATGAGAATCCAGGAACTGGGGTTTTAAGAAACATACCAATTATTGTAACTGTCCCAGAAGTCTTACAGCTTGTGACCTGGCAACCCTGCTTTCCGAGAAAAGAATTGTGCCAGCTATTGGGAATCTCGGTTGTGAAAATCTCTGACACATTAAACTGCTGATTTGGTAGACCTTTTTAACGATAACCTGAGAAAGCAGTGATGCTTGGGGACCATTGGAAGTTGCATTTGATTTCAGCAGGGTTTCTCCTTTTGAGCTGTAAGGAAAGCAGCCAAAGGTAGATGTCTCTAGAACAGGGGTGGGCAAACTTTTTGGCCCAAGGGCCACATCGGGGTTGCGCAACTATATGGAGGGCCGGTTAGGGAAGGCTGTGCCTCCCCAAATAGCCTGGCCCCCGCCCCCATCCACTCCCTCCCACTTCTTTCCCTCTGACTGCCCCCCTCAGAGCCCCCAACCCATCCAACCCCCGCTACTCCTTGTCCCCTGACCGCCCCCTTCCAGGACCCCCACTCCCTAGCCAACCCCCCTGCTCCTTGTCCACTGACTGCCCCAACCCCTCTCCACACCCCTACCCCCTGACAGCCCCTCGGGGACTCCCACCCCCTATCCAACCGCCCTCTGCTCACTGTCCCCTGACTGCCCTCTCGACCCCTATCCGCATCCCTGCCCCCTGACAGGCCCCCCAGGACTCCCACTCCCAACCCTCCCTGTTCCCCATCCCCTGACCGCCCCCCCCAGAACTTCTGCCCCATCCAACCGCCCCCTCCTCCCTGACTGCTCCCCAGAACCACCCGCTCCCTGCCCCCTTACCAGCAGCAGGAGCTCGCAGCCGCGACACCCGGCCAGAGCCAGCTGCGCTCCCCCCTGCTGCCCAGCAGGAGCGGTGGGCCATAGTGTGGCCCACGTGGCTGCATGGCTGCGGGGGAGGAGGGACAGCGGGGGAGAGGCCGGGGACTAGGCTCCCTGGCTGGGAGCTCAGGGGCCGGGAAGAACGGTTCCATGGGCCAGATGTGGACCGCAGGCTGTAGTTTGCCCACGTCTGCTCTAGAAGAAGAGACCCAAACTAAGATTATGCAACTGAAGGTTTATTACAAATTGGGTTAAAGAATAGATTACTGTAATGCACTCTGCAAGAGGTTAATCTTGGAAACTAGGAAAGTAACAGCAGAGCTGGAGGTCGCTACCTACGAGTTTGGTAGTATGCTCCCCAGAGAGCTTGTTAGATCTGTTTTCTAAACATTGAACTGGCTTCTTCATTCCTTATGCAAATTTATGTCTATATATATCATCTATTGTTCTGCCTGGTTTGGTCATGGCAATCTGAGAAATCCCCTCTAGCTACATGTGCTACCACAGGAGCAGAGATTATCTAGGTTGAAGAAAGAACTAGATAAGTTAATGGAGGATAGGTCCATCAATGGCTATTAGCCAGGATGGGCAGGGATGGTATCCCTAGACTATTTTGCCAGAAGATGGGAATGGCAACAGGGGATAGATCACATCATGATTACCTGTTCTGTTCATTCCCTTTGAAGCACCTGGCATTGACCACTGTCAGAAGACAGGATACTGGGCTAGATGGACCTTTGGTCTGACCCAGTCTGGCCGTTCTTATGTAGGTCTGTTGAGCTAACAGTCCCTACACTGACTGAAATACCCAGAAGCTGGTGATGGGGCATTTTTAGTTGAGGCTCCTCAGGTCCGGAACTCCCTCCCGCCAGTGTGTTAGAGCCTGATGACTTTCAGAGCATGGTGTAAAGGCTTATATCATCTCTCACGTTTTTGCTTGAGGAAAGTGGGGCTAAGTGTGGTAATGTGACCGTGGTATTATGAGGGAGATTGTGACCTGCCCTTATGACACACCACTGGGGAGGAAAAAGATACTAGTCTCAGTTTTCTCTCTGATTTGCCCTTAAGGTAACACAACTACATGCTATTCTCTTCTCAGGATGGACTGTAATGTTCCAGTTTAGACGTAAGTGTGTTATTTTTTTCAAAATTACTCAGTCCTCAGAGATTGTGTGATGGATCCCCTTATACATTTAGAAATGAAAGAGAGGTAATTTCAAGTGAATTATGCAAATAGCAATGCAGATGGATTTCAAATTAAAACAAAGGAAACCAAAAAAGATGCTGCTGGGTCTGTCTAATAGTGAAAACAAATTGTCATCAAAATGGCCAGGGTCCTTTGTTCTTTTTTGACTAATATGTGTGCAGAATGAATTGTGAAACAGTTAGTTTACAGGGCAACAAATATACAGAATGCTGTATCATAACTATCTGTTAGAACACTGGCTTGACACTTATACATAACAGGAAGAGGATATTGGCCATATCAGTACAGAATCTCTTTAAAATATAGGTGTTATATTTATTACTAATGGAAATTTAGTACTTTGTGAATATGTGTAGTCATTCTGGGTTTTTGTATAAGGTGATGAATCAAACAAGTGTTCTAGGGCTCTGTCATGCAACTGGTAGAGAGCACCATCAACTGCCATTAAAGATAGCAAGACTTGAGGATGCTCGCCACCTTACAGGATCAATGCTATAACTACAGCTAGGTGAAACCCAGGGTTCCATTCTGCAAGGATCCATGCAGACATTTTCTCTGCAATTAGGGTCAACACTCCAGAGTTTTGAGCTGAGATCCTGTCTCCTGATCCTGCCTCTTTACACCAGTCAAAAGGCCTAGAGCAGCGCAGCGTAAAGGGTCCCTAAAATCCCCAGTTCCACCTGGGGGAGGTTTCCCCACGCACAGCACTGTGAAAGCTGTCTGTCTTGCAAAGACCTACCCTTTGGGGGTGTGCCCGGGTGAGGCTTGGGGGAAATTAGAGGGGCATTTCAGGGACGATGCCACAGCACACGCAACTGCTGAGATTCCAGGCAGCACTGCAGCCCATAGTACAGCCCTAGAGGTTGCCCCATGACTAAGTTGTGCCAGAGGTGTCTCCAGCCAACTTATAGGTACCTTTCCGCTCTGCTTCATGAGCTAGGCAATCTATGCTGTGCTTCTTAGAGGTGCAGCCCAAAATCTCACCACTGATTTGCATATTGTGCTCATCTCACACAAACCCTCTTTGTCAACCCTATTTTTATTTGCAGCTGTAAAAAAAAAAAACTCATTTTTACTTAGCTGTTGTCTTCATCATTTCTCTCTCTACTCAGTTATCCCCAGATATCAGCCATCCATATTCATCTTTATGGTTGACTGATTGATAGATAGATAGATAGATATGAAGTAATACATTTAGGTCCAAATGTTCAGACTGGCCTTAATCAATTTTTCAGTCAAAACTTTACAATTGCAATCATTTCCTGCTGAAATTTATTTATCTGCTTCCATTCATCTTAAAGTGTGCCCATGTGAAGCTTGGGGAGATATAACAGACAATAAACCATGAATTAGAACCAGCCCTCAGAATATGAAATCCTTTCAACCCAAACTTTCTCACTAGGTCAGCTCTCTTTCCCAGGAAAAGCTGGGGAGAAAAGGTAGGCTATGCATTGTGACCTGAATATCCACCACTCTGGCCTCTGGCAGACCAATGGGGACCAGAATGCTTGTTACTGAAGATTCCTCCACTCTCCTTTGAATCAAAGCACAGGGATTGTTAGCCTCTCAGCTAATTTCATCAGCTACAGTGAGAGCCTCATGCATTGAAACCAACAACAGCTTGAATTGTATCCAGAAACAAACTGGAAGACAACGCTGACCCTGGAGCACTGATATAAATAATGTGCTCTCTTCAGGATGTGCCGGGAAACAAATGAGCAGCCACATTCTGCAGTTTGAGTGACACTAGTAGGTGGCTCCATGTCGAACATAGCAATCCACTCTGCAGCTGATAGCAATATGAACTACTGTAGCAAAAATCGCAGAGAGAAAATTATTACAAACTTCTGTCAAGATAGTGATAAAAAAATATGTATATTAATAGCCACCACCACAGGCAGCTGGGGGGCTCACCAAGATACCAAAGTAGCAATCGTGAACAAGATTTGTGCACACCACTCAGCTAAAGGTGCTGATATAATCTCCAGCATTTCATAGGGCGGTTTCCCCCCAGCCAACCAGCATCAGCTCAGATAAAGCTGAGATAAGTTTAGGGTTTGCTGTCTCTATGGGAAATCAATCAGAACAGCTACTGCAGAATAGCTCCTCATATGTACACTTTTCTGAAATAAGACACTTTATCCCAGAATAATATGGGGGAGGAGGTGTCACGTGCTGCAGCAGATGTGATGTATCTCAACTTCAGTAAGGCTTCTGATACTGTCTGTCATGACCATCTCATAAGCAAACAAAGAAATATAGCCTAGACAAACCTCCCATAAGGTGGGTGCACAACTTGTTGAAAAACTGTACTCAGAGAGTAGTTATCAATGGTTCAAAATCAAGTTGGAAGTATATAGTGAGAGGGGTCCCTGAGGGATCTGTTCTGGATCCGGTTCTATTCAGTAGCTTCATAAATTATTTGGATAATGGCATAGCGAGTACACTTATAAAGTTTGCAGACGATGCCCAGTTGGGAAGGGTTGCAAGTGCTTTGGAGGACAGGAATAGAATTCAAAATAATCTTGAAACACTGAAGAAATGGTCTGAAATAAATAGGATGAAATTCAGTAAAGACAAATGCAAGGTACTACACTTAGCAAGGAATCATCAATTGCAGAAGCACAAAATGGGAAATGACTGCCTAGGAAGGTGTACTGCAGAAAAGGAGGGGGGGGCGTTGATGTTATTGACATGAACTGTAACCATACAGATCGTTGTTGTGTAGGGGGAGATTCTGGCAAACCAGTAAAGTGCCTGAAACCATTATGGCTCATTGCTAAAAGCAGCCAAGTCAGCAGGCCATAAAGTGGCCATGTAGCAAACTCAGCTTGACCAAGGCAGGAGGGGAGGGAGTTTTGGGTGCCACAGAAAGGGCAGCTTGACCCCGCGTCCTTCCTGATAAGAATTGTGTTGAAGTTGCTGATACGTGCATTTTAGAAGAGCAGGAATGTCTATTGGGGCCACAAGGCTGCAAACTCTGAGAAAACCCCACACCTGGTTAATCAGTAATCAGAAGGAAGCCTCTTGATTGACAAGTTTTCTTTAAGGGACATGGCATTCTATTACTAATGTATAAATAAGGGGGAAAAGTTTGAGGTACTGGGATTCTTCAGGACTGGACTCTCCCTCTGGATGCATCTTGTGTTCCCCACCAGCACATGGGCTGCCGTTGTGCCACTCGAGAGCCATGCTCAGCTTTGGTAATTATCAAGGGTTGGGGGTGTTTTACTAACTTGTTGCAGACGTGTGTAAGTGCTTGAGCCTAAGTAAGGTTTAGCTTTAAGTGAAAGCACTCTCGTGTTGTCCTGTTTGTGCCAGCCATCTATTGGTTGGATGGCCATGTCTCCCCTGATTTATTTCCTGACACCACCTCGCACAGAGTAAAAGTTACCAAGAGCTTTGGGTTGAAAGAACTCCAGGTAACAGTTGCAACCACTGTTATATATTTGCACCAAATCTTGTACAAAGGAGGTCCAGTAAGGTGTCTATGGAAAGGTTATGATCTGATGGTTATGATTATGCTATCTGTATGCATGTATCAATTTTGTAGATGAAATTATTATTATTGGCTATGTACTTGTATCTCAATGTGTTTGATTCTAAGTGGCATTAGTGAAGAAGCATTTGGTCAGCTTCTTGAGAAAGAAATTTGCAGATTAAGTGCCCAATCAAGAAACACTTAACTGACAATGGACCTTGGGAGACTCCAATCCACATGAGAAGTCTTCCTGGGAATGTTCAAGGTAGCATGTGAGCAATGGCTGCTCTCCCTGTAAATAACTGAGTCATGCATAGACATGTGACTTGCCCATGTGACTCCAAACTCCATCTTGCTGCTGTGATTTTCCACAGTAAGAACAAAGGGGTGTCCTTTCACATGGTAGAGAATATAAAAGGCCCTGGGAACCCCTCCACTTGTCTTCAGTCCTGCTTCATACCTCTGGAGGAACTTTCCTACAAACTGAAGCTCTGAACAAAGGACTGAATGACCCATCCAAGCTGTGAATGTACTCCAGAGACTTGATTTAAGCCTGCAGTTTATTCCATCACTGCTACAAGCCTGAACCAAGAACTTTACCATTACTGTATGTAATGGATTCCATTTAACCAATTTTAGCTCTCATCTATATTTTTTCCTTTTATGAATAAACTTTTAGATTTTAGATTCTAAAGGATTGGCAACAGCGTGATTTGTGGGTAAGATCTGACTTGTATATTGATATGGATCTGGGGCTTGGTCCTTTGGGATCGGGAGATCCTTTTTTCTTTTACGGGACATTGGTTTTCATAACCATAACGAGTGGCACTGGTGGTGATACTGGGAAACTGGAGTGTCTTAGGGAATTGCTTGTACAGACGCTCCCCGGGTTCACAAACCCAACTTACAGAAATCCGGACTTACGGAAAAAGTTACATAAATTCCGCAACCTTTTTTTTTTTTTTGCGTAATTGTCGGAGATACATTCCCAACTTATAACTCAACTTACACAAGGCGTTCTGGAACAGAATGCTTGCGTACGTCGGGGAGCTTCTGTATGACTTATGGTTAGCCAGTGGGATGAGACCAAAGTCCTCTCTGTTTGGCTGGTTTGGTGTTCCTTAGAGGTGGAGAACCACCAGCCTGGGGCTGTGACTGCCCTGCTCTAAGCAATTTGTCCTGAATTAATACTCTCAGTTGTGTCCTGCCAGAAGCAGCATCATTACAGGGGGCATAGTGTATCACAAACTAATTATGAGTCAACAATGAAACACTGTTGCGAAAAAAGCGAACATCATTCTGGGAGGTATTAGCAAGAGTGTTTTAAGCAAGACACAAGAAGTCATTCTTCCACTCTACTCAGCACTGATAAGACCTCAGCTGGAGTATTGTGTCCAGTTCTGGACACCACACTTTGGGAAAGATGTGGACAAATTAG